GTGAACAAATGTTCTTCTTGCTGGTGATTCTCTGCAACTTGGGCTTGCTGTAGTTCCTGCTTCTCCTTATGGCCAAATTGTTTGCAGGTCCTACATTGCAGTCCTGGCTTGAACCAACACCATTTTGGTGAATGTCCCTTCCTCTTGCAATGTGAACAAGGTGGATATTTACCTCCTTTACCAGTACCTTTCTGGTTCTTAATTTCCTTCTTTTCATTAATTGTTTTCTTCACAGTATAGCTCGTTTGAGCTTTATGCTTTCCCTTAGCAAGTATGGCATCTTCAACCTGTTCCTCTTGCCTTATTAATCTCCTCTGCGTTGTGACTTGCAGAGCATTAACTAATTCAAACAAGGACATAACAAACAAATCCCTGGAATCTTCAAGTGGGGAGATCTTAGCTTCAAACTTTTTAGGTAGGCTGATCAAAACCTTTTCTACTACTTTTTATCTGGAAAATAATCACTTAATAACCTAATTTGATTCACTACCTTCATCAACCTATCAAAGAATTCCTTAACAGATTCTAAATCCTTCATTTTTAAAGTTTCAAACTCCCTTCTCAGATTCAAGACCTGCATTTGCCTAGTTCTCTCATTGCATCAAAATTCCTCCTTTAATATGTCCCAAGCTTCTTTTACTATTTCACAAGTTATAATCCTAGTGAATATAGCATCTGAGATAGCTAATTGGATACAGGAAAGAGCCTTAAACGTTGCTTCAGTTGTGCAATGGTGGGATTTGCTCTCAATTGAGGAGGTTCAGCCCCAGTTTCTATAATCTCCTAGAGGTCGCATGCCTTCAGATATGCTTTCATCTTTGCAGGTGAAAAGTCATAATTTTCTCCTGTAAATACTGAAGGCAAAGGTGCTATAAAATCACTGGAAGCCATCACTCACACTCACGCATTTAGCTAGTATGAAGGTTCCTTTCTGGTTTTCTCTCAAAGTTCTTTAGCTCTTTGCAGTCCTTTTAAGATCTGATTTAAGCTCTGATACCATTGTTGTTAACTGAACCCAAAGAGATGAAGAAAATATCAATTTACATTCATACATTTTTTTGAGTAAAA